TTGTGGGCATACATCCACACGTCCCAAGCATTTTTTAAAAGCCACTAGGTCCAGGATTTGAACTGTCCAGCCAGACCTTAACCTCCATGGCACCTATTAGTCCATTAATTCTCCTTTTTTTGGGGAGAGATTTTCGCTATAGGGTGCGCGCGCTCGCCAGACAGACAGAGACAGAGAGACAGAAAGCGAGAAATCACTCCCCAGGGGGGATGGCCACGCCGCAATCCCTTCTCCTCCATTCTCCTCTCGGGATCTTGGGCATGCATGCACACGTGCCCGGTGTGAGTTTTAAGCCACCGGGTCCAGGACGCGAACCGCGGTTGACTACGTGGGAGTCCAGCGACATAGCCATTATGCATGCTAACTGCTGGTTCTCCCATTAATTCTCCTTTTGAACAAAACATGTCTAATCATTTTTCCTGGAGCCCAACGTGATTGTCCCTGCCTTTATGCCTGTTTATAAAATGCACCTGCCTGGAGCATCTTTCCAATTCCTTATCATCACCAAGGTCCCAAACAAGTCTCTACTCCTCCTGAGCATTCCAGTGTGTTGCTGTGGAAAGATGATCTGTAAGCAAACAAGCAAATGTAGGTTTAAGGGACACTTCCTGAATGGATGAACTACCATGTGCAAAGCACTTAACCTCCCTGAGCCTCGGGTTTCTCCTCTGAAAACGGTTATGATGACCCCTGCACTGCTCATCCTCTAGCGTGGTGTGTGGGGTCCTGCGGTGATATCAGTCACGTGCTCGGGGTCATTGACAACCTGCTCAACTGCTCCTTTGAGAACCTCTGAACCTTTGGAACAGGCGCTGTGCCATTTGTCCAGTATCTGACCATGCATGACCTGACACTGGTCATGCTATTCCTGTGAATGCCCTCGGAGTGTGAAATGCTTCATGAGTGCTTTGTGCACATCCACGTGGCTGACTACCAGTCCTGATACCAGGCTCTGTTAGGATTTCTATATCAGTTAACTGCCAGGCATCCCCAGGAGACCGGTATTACTACTCCACTTCAAAGATAAGAAACCAGAGAGTTACTTAGAGAGGCTAAGTGACTTGGCAAGGGGTCACAGCCAATAAGTAGCAGTGCCAGGAACTGAACCCAGATCTGTCTGGCAGCAGAGGTCCATTCATCACTACTGTCCTTGTGGCTCTGACAGAGCCTCCAGTTTAGTGTCAGTTCAGTGTAAGTCTGTCGTTCAGAAGACTATTGATATTGATCCCAGTGATTATATAATAATATTGATAATTCAGGGATGATAGGAAGTCAGGGCCCCTTGGGACTAATATCAAAACCTCAACTTTAATGTATTTATGCCAAAATTTTACAATTGATTGTATTTCCAAATGAACCAAACCAAACCTTAAAGAAAGAACAGATATCTAGAGCCCCCCCCCTTTTAAAAAGAATTATTTAAGGTTATTAATTGTTATTTATTTATTTATTTGAAGTTGACCATAGAGAGACAGAGAGAGAAAGAAGGAAAGTGAGAAAGCAAGCTGCCAGGTTCAGAATTCAAACCGCGGTCAGCCATGTGGGAGTCCAGCTGCCTTAACCATCATGCCGCCTGCTGGCCCCACTGGAGGTCCCTTTTAAAACATGTCAGTGCTCATCTCACTGAATGGCTGCTTTTCTGAGGCCTGGCAAACACTAAGAGATACCCAGTCCTCAACTAGAGAAAACAGAAGAGAGGCATGGGACTTTTATTATTGTTATTATTTTAAATTTGCAATAGGGTAGCTGCATTTGCTGGAGAGAGAGAGAAAGAGAGAAAGTGAAAAGCACCCTTCACAGGGATGGCCACACCACAATCCCTTTTCCTCCATTCTCCTCTTGGGTTTTTGGGCACACATGCACATGTGCCCAGTGTGTTTTCCAAACCACCAGGTCTGCTGGGGCTTGAACCACACAGTTAGCCATGTGGGATCCAGTCACCTTAACCATCATGCCACTGACTGGTCCGCAATGGGACATTTTATTTATTATTTATTTGTTTACTTTGGTTTGACTACAGAGAAGGGACAGAAAGAGAGACGAGAGAGAGAGAAAGCTGCCGGTTCCAGGACTTGAACTATGGTCAGCCATGTGGGAGTCCGGTGCCTTTAGTCATCATGTCATCTGCCGGCCCCCACAATGGGACATTTTAAAGAAGGCAAACTGATAAGGAAAGGTGTAGAAAGAACGTAGAAGGTACGATCGAGGATTACGGAGATAAGGGAAGATTGTTTATTGGGGAAGTGGCATTTCAGAGAAATCCTGAAGGAAACAAATCATAGAGTAAGGCATTCTAGGCAGGAAGAAAAATTAGGGAGGGGAGTGTGCAGTTTATTATGACTATACTTGCGATGATCTGCCAGAGGACAGTGGGAAAGGGCTGGGTAGGCTTGGCTCCTCTCCTAACTGGTGGGAACAGTTATCCTAGTACATCGGGGAGATAAATCAGCATGAAGCCCTGGCTCTCTGTGAGCCTAAGGCCTCTTGATTTGTAGGCTTGGTTTGCTCTGCCAAGTTGCCCTTGGGAGCATGCAGCAGAAAACCCAATGGGAAGAAGAAGAAAGCCACAGCCCCCCCCCACCCCCCACCCCTCCTGCTTGTGGTTCCTGAGGCCACAACCTAGAAGGCCATGCTGTGGTTTGTATATGAGCACATTGAGAACAGCAATGACAAGGGCAGGTCACGGGGATCATGTATATTCTCAGAAAGGCACTGGACCAGAGAGATCATCCAGCCCAACCCTCTTGTTTAACTGGTAAGCAAACCCAGGCCTGCAGAGAAATGATTTGCCTAATGTCACAGAATAACTGACCCCAGTCCCGGAGCCGGAAGAGAGTTAAAGGGTCATTTTGTGTGACTTCCTCCTTCTGCGGATGAGAACACTAACGCCCAAAAGACAGTTTTAGAACGCAGGCGTTTCAGCTCTCTACGCTCTGTTCTTCTTGCCCTGCCATAGTAGTCACTTCCTTTCTTTCAGCTGAGAAACAAAGAACAGCAAGTGACGGAGAGAAAGAAAGTGAGAAATCACTCCCCGGGGGGGATGGCCATGCCACAATCCCTTCTCTATTCTCCTCTCAGGATTTTGGACACACACGCACATGTGCCACCGGGTCTGAGACTCTAATCACAGTTGACCATGTGGGAGTCTAGCGTCTTAACCATCATACCACCTGCTGTCCCCACCAAGAAATGTATTAAGTTATGGTAGATCCACACTTTATGCAGATGTTAAAAAGGATGATGTAGGTCCAGCCACAGCAGCGCAGTGATAACTCAGTGACCTGCAATGCTGGGAGCCGTATGGAAGACAGGAGTTTGGTTCCCTGTTCAACCTGTGCACTTTAGTATGCATGTGTGCCAGTGATCCGGGCTGGCCAGGAGAGACTGGGGGTAGATTGCAGAGTGAAATTCTGTTGAGCATGTTTGTTTTCCTTCATCCCCATAAAACAAACAAACAAACAAACGTTTAAAAACAAGTATGAGAGCCAGCAGGTGGTGTAGTGGTTAGGTGCTGGACTCACACAGAAAACCACAGTTCAAGTCTCAGATCTAGCGGCTTGCTCTCTCACTCTCTCTCTTTCTTTTGTCAAATTAAAAAATAATAACAAATAAAATTGAATAAATAAATATATTTTTTTAAAAAAACAAGGATGATAGGGCCAGCAGGTGGTGTGGTGGTTAAGGGTGCTGGACTCCCACATGGCTGGCCGTGGTTCGAGTCCCAGACCTGGCAGATTGCTTTCTCACTTTCTCTCTCTCCCCTTCTCTGGTCACATTAAAAATAAATAAATAAATGAATAAATAAAATTTAATAAAATTAAAAAAAAAAAAAAGATGAAGGGAACCAGCAGTTAGCGTAATGGCTATGTCGCTGGACTCCCACGTAGTCGACCGCGGTTCGTGTCCCAGACCCGGTGGCTTAAAACTCATGCCGGGCGCATGTGCGTGCGTGCCCAGGATCCTGAGAGGAGAATGGAGGAGAAGGGATTGCGGCGTGACCATCCCCCCCGGGGGGGGTGATTTCTCGCTTTCTGTCTCTGTCTCTCTCTGTCTGTCTGGCGAGCGCACGCGCCCTACAGTGAAAATCTCTCCAAGGAAAAAAAAAAAAGATGAAATAGGTAACTTAATTATTTGATACTCAAAGATGGTCATGATTTAGTAAATGAAAACCAATTGTACATACAAATGAACATCTTTAAATAAATATATTTGAGTGTAATACATATGCA